CATTCAATATATTGGTGCCTGTGGATGCTGTTGTATAGCATCCACAGGCACAAGCATAGCAAAAACACCCAGATTTATATGTCCAATGGCTCCAATAACAACCATTCACATTCAATGTGTTATGTTTTCAGGTGAAAAAGTAAGAGGTAATTGCGAACTATGAGCAGCACAGTGTTCTGACAGTTTTTTATGGTCTTTTGTTAAATGGATACATGAATACTGGTTTCCTTTACATAGTTAGAGACATTAATATATTAGAATATTTGTAATATATAAAAAATACTGACCAAACGTAACTTCTGACATTCATTTTCTGTTGCCCATCACAGTGTTGCATATCTTCAGGGACTCTTTAGAGCAGCCTTTTTTCAACCAGGGTTCCGTAAAACCTCAGGGTTCCTCCAGGGGTTTTTTGAACTGTGGTTGATAGACCTCCTTTCCGATGGTGTCTACATAATTCCGGGTCCAACGCCACTTCGCAGAGCCACCACCAATGATCTTTTTAGCTAGCAATTAAGATAGTATTCTGACCACTACTGTAAGGGGAGCATTCTTCCCCACTGACCAATAATGTAAGGGGCATTCTTCCCACTGACCCCCTCCCCCCCCCACCCCCCAATGTAAGGGAAGCATTCTTCCCCACTGACCAAAGATGTAAGGAGGATTCTTCCCACTGTGTCCCCCCCATGTAAGGGGATTCTTCCCACTGTGTGTGTGTCCTGATGTAAGGGGAGCATTCTTCACCACTGACCAACAATGTAAGGGGGAGAATTCCCACTGCCCTCACCCCCTGATGAATGCATTTTATCAAGGGTTCCCGGAGAATGATTTCAGGGATATCTCTGGAATAAAAATGTTGAGAAAGGCTGCATAAGAAAATGTCCCCAGTCTATTATATTCTGAAGTTCTGGCTGTACACCGGAATCTATTCAGAGCCTCAAGTGTGATTTTACATAAGCAAAAGCAATTTAAGAGAGAATATGAAGGCTTTTGCGTGTTTTGTAATAACCCCATTAGAAGAGTTGGTGCACTGTGGTGCTGGTATTTTTTCCCTTCTTCCACTTGTCGGCATTGTAGTGAGGTCCTACACTGACATCTGCCAAATAGATACATGGGAGTGCTTTAGACAGGTCTCGGAAACAACTACTAAAGCATTAACGTTTTAACATTAGTACAGCGACTGCTGCCTTTTATTAAAAATGTTGTGTTTTAGAAGATCCTGCTGTGTTGTCTTAGTTGGAAGAATGCCCAGAAAGTCTCTGTTCCTCAGAGAACATAAAACATAACATGAGCCACAGTACTCTTCAGTTTGGCTGGAGGCCCAGGTGGAGTTCTTACCTGGACAAACTATTGTTGGCCATGTCAGTCGTTTCTTCTTTCCTCTTACACGCTGTGAAATGTACACTCCTTTTATTTAGTGGCTTGTATAGACATATGTTTTAGAAAAGCATATAACTATCCATAGCAGAAAAAAAACTAAAACAGAGTTGTCTACCTGTGCAGGGTCAGGGCTAGTTCACTGCATTCGGATATGCTCATTTGTATGTAAATCACATGCTTTTTTAGTCTACATATTCTGAAAGAGTTTGTCGTCTTGTCTTTGTCAGTCACTGCCTGCCCTCTAGTGGTAACCATAACTAAAAAACATAATTATAATAAGTGGCCAGATATGTTGTTTTCTTGAAGAAAAGACCTGTGCTAAGAGAAATTAATGGGCCGCCTTCCAATAATTTGAGACACTTCTCCAGAACAAGTGTGCACAGGCGTCGGAAATTCTGCTGCATATGTTTGTTCCTGGCTAGTGATTACAGATGATTTAATCCTTTGAAAGCCAGGTAATGACATTTTTCTCAGGACAAGTTTGCCCTTCATGTACATTTGTTGAATCTTTTGGGGACAGATAGAGCTTTCTTTTGGTGGTATTTAATCTCAACTGGGGTTTTTATTTTTTACTATATAACAAAAAAGTACCAAATATTTTTTTTTTTTAATGGCTTTCCCTTTATTATTTTAGGAAACATTTATTTTTACCCAATTTTTTGGTAAAATATAAAAGGCGGGATCACGTCGGGTAAATAGACACCAAACATGTTAAGCCTTAAAATTGCGTGCGCCCGCGAAATTGCAAAAAAACACCGTAGCCAAAATTGGCCATAGGCGACGCTTTAAAAGATTTTACCGCTCATCAGTTTAGTGTCATCAGTGATTGATGGCCCTACAATGATTGCTCTCACTGCGACGTTAGCAGCGATATGTAACACGTGCAGCATAATTGGAGCAATCGTCGTTTTCGCGTCTTTGCGCATCTAACGCATTTTTGCGCATCTATGTGGGGGTGGGGGACTTTTAAAAAAATGTGTGGGTTTTTTCATGTTTTGTGTGTGTACATTTTTATTTATTTTGTGAGGGAAAAAAATTAAACTTTTTTTTTTCCACTTTTTTTCCCCCACTTAACTTTATTGTTATCACATAGGGTGCTAATAAGTACCTTATGTAATAACAAATTACAGTTACAGGTCCCCTTTATGGAGACCTTGGGACCCCCAGAGAAGCTGATGAAGCACAGATCTGCTTCATCAGCTTCTCTCCGGTTTCTGTATCGGAGAGTGACAGAGGAATGCGGAAGTGATGAAATATACATCACTTCCTGCATTCAGAGACCGGGAGGAGAGCGGAGGGAGATCGGGTACTGATCTCCCTCTGTTCTCAGTGCACAGAGCCACATCGCCTGGGATCACGGCGGCGGGGACAGCGACCAGAGGTAAGGGGGGTGTGCACCTTCACTTCCATTATACAAGCGATCGGGCGTCTTCACAGACGCCGGACCACTTGTATGTAAACGGCCATCGTTGGCCATTTAAAATCCAGGCACTTTCCCGCTCGTGCGCGCGAGAGCGGGCACGCAGGACGTCTAAAGACGTCCACCCACATCCAGGAGACTCCCGTCCGGCCGTCTTTCAACGATTGGCGGACGGGAGGTGGTTAAATCGTTTTTTGTTTTAACACTTTTTGCATATATCTACTGCTTGCTAGCCATAGATATATGCAAAAACAACGGAGGCTTTAATTATACTTTAACCTCTTAAATAGGTTCCCCTAGTTTCCAGACAGAAAATATTCAACTTGTGGCTGAAAGTGTTATCTTAGATGTGGAGAAAATAGAACAGAAGAGTCTTCCTGTAGGTGTGCCACCAATACATGTCATCTTTGGAAAGAAAATTGCAGCAGGTCCTAGTGTTTTGCTGACCTTTTTTTTTCTTTATTGGATATGATCATGTCTTTAGATATATATTGCCTTGCCTTTTTCTGTTTGGAATTATATGATGAACTGCCTAATCCCTTCTCATTTTCTAACTGAATGAAGGTTTACAGTGAGGAAAATAATGATTTGATCCCCTGCAGATTTTGTAAGTTTGCCCACTTACAAAGAAATCAAAGGTCTATCATTGTTATCATAGGTGTATTTTAAATGATAGAGACAGAATGTCAACCAAAAATCCAGAAAAAAACACATGATACAAATGTTATAAATGGAGTTGCAGTTCAGTAAGTAAAATAAGTATTTGATCCCAAGCAAAACATGACTTAGTACTTGGTGGAGAAACCCTTGTTGGCAAGCACAGAGGTAAGATGTTTCTTGTAGTTGGTTACCAGGTTTGCACACATCTCAGGAGGGATTTTGGTCCACTCTTCTTTACAGATCTTCTCTAAATCCTTAAGGTGTTTTGGATGTCGCTTGGCAACTCGAAGTTTCAGCTCCCTCCATAAATTTTCTATAGGATTAAGGTCTGGAGACTGGCTAGGCCACTCCGTGACTTTAATGTGCTTCTTCTTAAACCACTGCTTTGTTGCCTTGGTGGCATGTTTTGGGTCATTGCCATGCTGAAAGACCCATCTTCAGTGTTCTGGCTGAGGGAAGGAGGTTCTCATCCAAGATTTTACAATACATGGCCCTGTCCATTGGCCTGTACCTTTTAGCAGAGAAACAGCCCCAAAGCATAATGTTTCCACTTCTGTGCTTGGCTGTAAGGATGGTGTTCTTCAGCATTTTTCTTCCTCTAAACACGGCGAGTCGAGTTAATGCCAAAAAGCTCAATTTTGGTCTCATCTGCACTTTCTCCCAATCCTTCTCTGAATCATTTAGATGTTCATTGGCAAACTTCAGACGGGCCTGTACATGTGCCTTCTTGAGGAGGGGCACCTTGCAGGCGCTGCAGGATCTCAATCCATGGCGGTGTATTGTGTTACCAATGGTTTGTTTGGGGACTGTGGTCCCAACTGCCTTGAGATCATTCACAAGTTCCTCCCGTGTAGCTCTGGGCTGATCCCTCACTTTTCTCATGATTATCCTTCCCCCATGAGGCAAAATCTTGAATGTAGCTCCAGACAGAGGGCGATTTGATGGTTATTTTGTATTCCTTTAGTTTTTGAATAATCGCTCCAACAGTTGTTTCCTTCTCACCAGCTTCTTGCTGATAGTCTTGTAGCCCATTCCAGCCTTGTGCAGGTCTACAATCTTGTCCCTAACATCCTTTGGCAGCTCTTTGATCTTGCACATGGTGGTGAGATATGAATGGAAGAGATTCTGTGGACAAGTGTCTTTTATTTACATAACGAGTTGTCGATAGGTGCGCCTTCTTAAAGTGACAGGACTAATCTGTGTACCACAGTCTGTGGGAGCCAGAATTATTGTTGGTAGGGGATCAAATGCTTATTTTACTCAATGAACTGCAAATTAATTTCGAACATTTGTATCATGTGTTTTTCCCCAAATGTTTGGTTGACATTCTGTCTCTATCATTTAAAATACACCTATGATAAAAATTATAGACCTTTCATTTCTTTGTAAGTGGGCAAAGTAACAAAACCTGCAAGGGATCAAATCATTATTTTCCTCACTGTATATATTTATTATTCTTTAATATGCATAAAATATTGAGAAAAGACATTCCAATAAAATGTCTAATTTAAAACTCTTTTGTGTTTTGTCTGTCTTATAGGTGCAGTGGCCTGGGACTGGTTCTAGCCAGTGCTGGTTTTGGAATGTTAACAGCCCCGATCATGGAACTTCATAATCAGAAGGGATATTTCTTACATCATATCATCTTCGCTTGCTGCACATTGATCTGTATAATTTGCATTCTTCTCCTGCCTGAGAGTAAAAACCAAAACCTACCAGAGAACATCGCTGATGGAGAGCATTACACTCGACAGCCTCTCCTACCTCACAAGAAAGGAGAGCAGCCCCTCTTGTTAACAAACTCAGAACTCAAGGATTACTCTGGCCTCCATGACTCTGCACCCATGGGAGATGGGGTGTCTGAAAACACAACTGTCAACGGCATCAAGTCAGCATAGCTAGAAAAGTAACATGGAAGAACATCATCTATTTATTATTTGTTTCCCCTTTGCACAGGTCTTAAAGGCCAACCCTAGGATTGTCTGACACTGTGGCACCCTCCTACATGGCTGCTAAACCTTGTCAACCTGGAGAAAACCACAAAGAGAAACTTCTGTTTCCAGCAAACTCCAGGGAAGAAAAGTTTGTCAACAAATGTAACACCCTTTTTCCACCAACATACTTGTGTTTTGTTTCACTCCAGTTGGTCACGAGATACTTTAAGAGAAAAACTATGTCTAAAACAATCACTCTGAGCAAAAAATCATTTTCTCTAATCTGATTGGCAATACTCTTCATCTTTTAGAATCTCATCCTACATCCTCCGATATATATACTTTTTTTCCCCTCTTGGTAAAGCTGCAGTTAGCAAATGCAGAAGCTGCCCACCTAGCATTTAAAATGAAAGTACTGTGATTTGTTGGTTGTGAGGGCTGGTCTCAGTTTCAAGCCCGTTGTTAAATACTTTTAGCTGGAAATAATCTGGCAGAATGAAGGGGCAACTTGTGTAAGCACTGAGAGGTTCTACTCACCAGTGGTTAAAAAAAAATACTTTTTGCACAAAGTGTGAAGGACTTTTACACTGTATGTTATTATGAAAGCGAAGACTGAGCAAATGGACTCCAAGTTCAGTTTTTTTTCTTTTTCTAAAATACTTGAGCAATACAGACCAATTGGGAAATGAAATAAATACCACTACTTTGAAAGAAGTCAGTCGGCTGCTATATGTTCCTGTGACATGCAGCTCTGACCGAGCACACCTATTGGTTACCCCTCAGGTTTCACGTCTTGACGTTGGACATTTGGGAGAATGCTTTTAGAGATGTGCAGTAAATATGTGCCAAATTCTGCAGAATCCTTCCCTCCTGTATGAGCAGAACGTAGCCAGGACCTGGTTTCCATTAACAAGAACATGCTACTACTAATACTAATACTTGCGTGATGCTTTAAGTGTCCTGATTCCCAAGTAGATCACTCAAGTTGGCATTAGCGACCTGTCATGAGGTTATGCGGTCTTTGGAATCCCACTTGACATGTAGCAGATTTTTAGCCCTATGAGAATGCAGGGACGTTTCATTACGTGGACAATGTTATTTATATCAGAGAATGTGAAATTTTGCATTGAAATAGTAGGGCTCTTCAAAATGTACCTTAAAAAACTTGATTTAAAAAAATGCTTGGGTTTCAGGAATGGATGTAGGGAGCCTTACTGACTAACCCAAAGATCAGTAAGCCCTCTGGATCTCAGTACAAGAATGGGTCTTGATACAAAACAATACTGGTTTTGCTGGTTTAGAATGATTGCTACTGAAAGTAGTATTGCGGATACAAAACAATGCACATGCAAGCTAAATCTAATCTATAGCATGGTGCCTAGGAATAACATATTAACATGTTTTCTGGTTACTGGTCAAGCTTTTAAGAACAGCATTACAAACAAAAAAAGAGCAAAAACATTTTTCAGCCGTAAAAAGGAAAATGAATTGCAACTAATAAGGTTAGATTACTCAAACATCTTTCCTTAAGCTAAGCCTTCACAAAGGCATAAAGGTACAGAACACATCCATGAAAGTGTAGTAATTGTAAACTGTTACATTAGTGCTTTCTAGTTGAATACTGTTAATTATATAATGTGAACACTGCTTTTTGGTGACTATTTTGACGCATCATGAGAAAAGGTCGGAAAAAGTCCTTGAAAGAGAAAGCAAATCAACCTTTGGCCGGTTTAGTTTTGTGAATTGGAGGGAGGGATATCGGGGGTTTGTACAAATGGAAATTCAATGTTAGTATTTCAATAAATGTTTCTAAATGTTGTAGAGCCAAAACCATGGATTCACCAAACTGGAAGAAGTGCCATTAAATGAACTGTTAAGTGTTGACCACTTTACCGTTGGGATGACTTTAAGCGCACTGCATCCTCTCTTACAAAAAAAGATGGGGATATAATGCACCTTATAAGACTAATGTGTTTTGAAGTGTACCGTGAGTGTTTTTTGGAGGAAATTAGCCAATTTAGACTAGGTGTTCAAAACACCAACCCTACCCATTTGTTTTCAATCATGAAAGTAGTAACTTTTAATGTCCTCATTGTATAGTACCCTTCGTTCAAACAATCGTTCATTAGTTGTACTGTAGACTCTTCAAACCACTAATATTAATCCTGCTATCATGTCCATCCATCTAAGAGCCAATGCAATAGTTTGAACTTGTCAGTCATACAAAGCTACGTCACCAGTTGTTTTATTGTTTAACAGAACACTAATTGTCCACCTCCAGGCACATGTACTAATACACAAGGGACAATAATTGTTTTGTTTTTAATTAAATTAATAGGGAACTATAAAAAAAATGCTAAAGGATACTTGGCTGCAACTCGATGCTTTTTGGAATCTGTGGAATCTTACTGAATTATAGTACACAGATTGGTTCAAAATTCTGGATGTATTTTTAAGCAATTTCATCTCCTGCAATATGGATTTGCAAATATATATATATGTTTTTATTTTATTAGTATCCCTATGAGATGAGAAGAGATACATTTTTATTTTCCCTGTGCTTTAGGACAAGAATTTAATTGTATCTTTGTTTCTATTCAGGAGTAGTTTGGTGGTACACATCCATAGCACAAGCTTTCATACGGAATACTGAAAAAATGTCTTACAAACTAAATGTGTGCATGTCACCTGGTTGTATCAGCGCAAAAATATTTGTACTGTATGTGTACAGAAATAAAACCGTATAAAACTACAGCTAAGCAATCTTTTTTTTATTTTATTTAAATAACAAACAGGAAAAAGGGTGCCCACTCGTTGAGGGTGTGAATGCTAATATGCATGTCACTGCAGTGCTAATGAGTGAAGTGGGGGTATATGGGAATAGAAGATGGGGATCAGGCGCAGTGGTGAGAGTGGGGGGTTAGTATGCTAGTATGGTGCGGGGGGAGGAAGATGGGAGTCAGTGAATGTGGGGAGGTTGAAAGGTGGTTAGAGGGTTCAAAATGCTGCACTTCATGACATTGCTTCTGATCTCTTCTAACCTGCAGATACGAACAATTAGCTATCAGCGCAGGAAGTCTCCTAAAACTAATAACTTACAGTAGTTTTGGCTTATACATGTCACATGATCTACTAAAGAGAGCCTCAAATAATTTATTTTGGACGGGACACTTCAGGTGCTAGGAGCTGAATTCCGATATGTATGGGGATGACTGCAGGTTAGAGATCACCAGAACTGTCACTAAATCTGGGTCCTGCCCCCTATGCAATAGAACCCCATAGACTCCTACGGGGCTGGGAAATGGCTCAGTCCTCCCAAGTCCTCCCTCATAGTCTGCACATCAAATGGCCATCAGTACACATCAAACTATTTAGTCCCCTTTCACACTATGCCGTTTCATTGTGGTGTGTTACTGTATACACATTAATGTGTGGCATTTTGCATGTTGATGTGTGTTGCATTAAAGGGCTAGTTCACCTTTTCACAAAAAAACAAAGTGCAGGTCTGGCTTTCCTTTAAGTGCCTTGTTTTGGCAGCCCATTTTGATGAATGAATTCTGTTTCCAACATTTTGCAACTGCTATTCTGGACGCTAACAATATATATGATACTAGCTCTGCTTTTTTGAGTATATGGTGATTTCTCTATCAAATTTGTTATATAAAGAAACTTCGGGTAGCTTAGGTAGGTTGATTCCAGTCACAGAGTAAATTTAAATGTTATATTCTAATTAAGAATCTGCGTATTTTGGGGCGTTGCCACCAAACATGAAACATAGTGCCCATCTGACCACATACCCTAAAACATGTAGGTGGTGCTTGGGGGTGCAGTTAGATATTCTAATAGGAACCATTTACCATCTTAATAGAGTCTTATAGTCAGTAGTATTTTTGGCCAACAGATAGATCTCATATTTATATTTGGAAGTGTGGAAAGAAATCACTGGAGCCGTGTGGTTATTCTCATGGTGTTTCTCATCCAACAGCAGTTAGGTGATGTGAATATGTGTGATCTGGCTAATGGGTAGGAAGCTATTGCAGTCCAAAGGATCTTCACAGTATCCTTGGCTTGACAGTCAACATAGTAGATGTAAGAACTGAAGCACCACACCAATTAAAATAGTCCATATACAACTTTATTACATTAGGGGCTGGAGACATTCAAGCAGAGTATCCAACACATTTCGGTGGTCCAAAACACCCTTCTTCTGGGCTTTATTTAAGAACTCATGTATGTGGACTTCAATACCTGCAGCTTGAAAGTTGTGTTGTGATGGGAGTACTTCAGGCTTGTCAGCAGCTAGTTTGTCAATTGACGCATTGGCTGCTGCACTTGAATACCCCCTAACTCTAATGGAAGTTGAATGTAGACTATTTATTTAATTTGTGGCGCTTTAATACCTACATCTACTAAATAAGTGGGTATTCTTCCTTTAAAATGGTCCACAGTGAGAATTCCCCGTTCAAGAAATCGCCTATGCAAGTCAGACCTTTTATTTTTCCACCACTGGGCATCATGGCCTGGTGCAAATGCAGGAGTACCTATGATAGGTGCTAAAGAGTTATGCATTGGGTATAAAGCTTTCCTGGCTCTGTCTAACCCAAACCAACAAGTAGGAAAACATGGGCTTATTAGCAATTCTATTGAGTATGTTGCTTCTTTTACTTGTAAGGTAAGTGTTTTATTTAAAATACAGAATCACAATTACCCATCTCTCCTAAACTAATGAACCTTCAAAAATTACTATTTTGAACATGCTGAGTCTAATGGGGAAACAAACTCCATTTTACCTTCTGTATTGTTTGGTATAAAATGTTATAGGATTATTATCAGTAACAGTCTATATACAAAGCAAAACCACTGAGCATAGGAATAAGTTTGTGTGCTTGAGAACCAACAATCATTATGTCTACTCAAAAGTCACCTATACTCAGATTATGGGTTAATTTGGTAATAGCACCTGAAACATTTCCTGTTTTGATTAAGCACTTGGGTTAACCCTTTTAAAACATGTTTTTCTACAACCTAAATTGTATGTAAAACCTAACAGTGAACTATGTTTATCTGCTCCCTATTGATCTGTAAATATACAATTGCAAGCATTTTGTTATATCGATTTGATAAATGTAAAATAATTCCTTTGGATACTTCCAGACACCTTGCCAGCTGATACATTTTTGATGCATAGCACAGAATGTTAAGAATGCACTTTCATTTTTAAGCGCTTTATACTTGCTTAAAAATCCTACCTAGCTCCCTCCTTATGCAATGTTAAAGTAGTAATAAACTGTCAAACTTTTTTTTTCAATAATGAATCCAGATCGAACAAATATACATTGCCCAACAAAGCATCGCTCTACATTTTTGCCCAAACACAATCATTTTTCTGAACAGTTGCTTCCAGGTCTCTCAGCTCAGCTTCCCTGAACTATGTCCAGTACAAGACCACAAAGGACAGAGCAGACTCCAGCAACTGTTCATCTACCAGCTTGGAGGAGGGAGGAAGCTTTATTTGCTGTGTCTGTGAAGACACGCACAGCTTACTAGCACACACAAGGGTGACTGCATAGCACTCTGCTTGAGAAAGGAGTCGCTCTAAAACAGGATATGAGGACCAGTGCTCAGGGGACCGGCTGATTCTTCAGGAAACTAAAACTTTTAAACATTATTAAGAAGCAGCATTCATTGATTTCATCAGGATTTGAAATAGCTTAAAATGCTTTTGACAATAATATCACTTTAAGAAGTGGTGCGTGAAATTATATTTACTCCAATTAAACCTTTCTGTACTGTGCTGGCAGACTTCATTATCATGTGTAAACTAGAATTGGACAATGTCTTACAAAGGGTTAAAGATATAGAAGCATTGCATGTTAATGAGAGGAAGCTCAGTCTGCCCCTCTGCTTTCACTATCAAACTGCTCAGAGTAGCCTGGAATCTGCATAAAGGCCTTCACCAAAGAAGCAACTAGAAAAGGTAAGAAATAGATTTAATATTATTTTTAGGCCTACTGTATGAATAGGACACATAAGACATATATAGGGGTTTTCTCAAATTTCAGAGCAAAAGTGGAACTACACTAGAGTGATCTATTACACACTCGATGGACTTGTCTTTTTTTTCAACCCGACTAACTATGTAACACACTGTAATCAGCAACCTCTAAATCACTATTTACAGGAAGTAACAATGTCATGGCATTTCCTCTTAAAACACAATGCTAAGATTCTGTGGTCTCCTGTACTGCTACAGAGAGCTCTATAGCAAGCTCACCCCCGATAGACTAGAATTTCAATACAAATTAGTAAACTAAATTTGAGATTGTAGTCCATCACAGGAGCGAGCTTGGAGCGCTGGCTACTTTACAACACACACAGGGACCATGGGGAACAAAAGTAGCCACCCTCCAGAAGGAAGGACCATGTCAGCACCAATTCAGAGATGATTTGAGAATCTACAGCTGAGTGATACATTTGTATTACTAGTTAGGAGTTACATTTTAAAAATACATTCAAGTACCCTGAGTTTAGAGTGACTTTAACCTTTGATGTACATGGGGACAGCCATGTTTGCCAAAACCCAGAAATGAAATAACTGGGATAACAAAAAAGTTTTAATTCTGTGCTTTCGGATAAAATACAATAGAAAATAAGTCCTTCTATTTAACTGGTATTTCTTTACATAAAGCATGAGATCAAGTTCAAAAATAATCTTTCAAAATGTGAGCTTTATCCGTTGAATCCCCCAATACATTTAAATCTGGTAATAGAGGCTTATGTTATGCATTTGGTCTTTGGTACATCAATCAGCTTCTACACGCTGCTTTTCCCAGCATTCCATAGACACAGAGCTGCTCCTCACTGACTTTCAGCGACCATGAATCAGCTGTAGACCTGCTCAGGCAGTATTGCATGTCCGGTCAGTGTAAAGATCTGACCTTTAAAACTTTTCAGGAACGGTATCCATTTCCTGCTTGATTCGTTTCTCTATCAGCATCAATAGCTGGCTGTCATTGGTTGGAATGCTGATACTAACAAACACTTGCTTTTTAGTCTTCTTGGCTGTACATGAAAGAAAGAAAAAAAGACAGAAAATGTACTTCCTTTTTCTTAATTTGTACCAGCTAGCAGACACATGACCAGGTTATGCAGATGGAATAAGACTCCCTTCACACTATGCCCTGTGTTAAGCCTGTGACACTTCGTTCTGAATGAGCTGGCAGAGCACCTTAAAAAAAGGCATGTCCAATATTTAGCACATTAATCTACTGCAACGCATGGCATGTGCATTGTCGTCCACTGCAATATGGGTGCATTTCTCAACTGAAATAATATATTAGGGTTCCATTCACAATTAGTTAAAAATTATTGGCACTGCATCAGGATAGGCATACTACCACAATGCAGCATAGACCTCATAGGTCATGCGGTCTCATTAAAAAAGCTATCCTGAGAGATATGTCAGTTGTAATTGCTGACATTCTGAACATCCTCGTCACATGGCTTGCACAGTTTTTGAAAATCAAAGATTAACAAGTATGCAAATGAGAAGGCAATGATCTGAATTAACTAGCTGCTAGCTTTTGTCAGTGACCTAAAGGTATTAAAGCAGCATTACAGCTAAGCAACTAGCATTTTCAGGAGAGGTCAGCAATGCCACTAGCATAATACTCAGTCCACGTTTCCCTTGAGAGTTCAAGCAATGGTACCCGTTTACTCATTTGCAGCTTGTACATGAATGAAGGTAGGCAGAGTTTTGCATCATACCCCAAAGATAAATTGGTGTACAATGGGCAGCACAGCGGTGTAGTGGTTAGCGCTTCTGCCTTGCAACACTGGGGGTCCTTCGAATCCCTGCCATGTCACTATCTGCAAGGAGTTTGCATGTTCTCCCTGTGCTTGTGTGGGTTTCCTCCCGCACTCCAAAGACATGCTGGAAGGTTAATTGGCTCCTGTCTAAGTTGGCCCTGTATGCATGCGAGATAGGGACCTTAGATTGTAAACTGGTTCTCAACTGGTGGGTCGCAACCCCAGGTTCATGGGGTCACCATGCGCCTTCCACTGCACTAGGGGAGAGGTTCCTCAGCCTCCCCCATAGCACAGCAGTGTCAGTTCACATGCCGTGCAGCCATTCAAAATATGCTGCCTGGCGCCAAATATCAGCTTGAGGTGGAGTAGGCTGGTGGTATGGCCACGGGGGAGCTCTATCCATACATGCATTGCTTACAGCTCCCTCATGTGACCAGAGTGACGTCACATTCTGGCTCCCGGCACCTCTACAGGGAGTGCAAGGGAGCTGTACAAGCAATGCACATATGGAGGGAGCTCTGTCACAGCACAGCAGCCCACACTGAGCCCCTACATTTTTTGGGGAGTGTGTGTGAGAATGTGTCTGTGGCCATGTGTGTGTCTGTCAGTGTTTTTATCGCACCTACTGTACGTTCTGGTGTGGGAGGTGCGTTGCGCTGCAATTCATTTGAATGGCACCGGAAACACACCTCCCGGCCACAGTTTGATCGATTGCACTAAAACATGAGGTACCGCAATGTTGTGCGTTCCAGTGCAGTGCGTCTTGGGTCGCAACTTAATGACTAGGGACAAATGTGGGTCCTGAGGTTACACAGGTTGAGAACCACTGCTATACTTGTCACAATCCTGGGAAATTCAAATTGAGAGCGTAATGAAAGAAATGCAACTGCAGAGGTTACCATCAGTGAAAAACAAAGGAATGGCAGATGAAGAGGAGGTGCAGGCAGAAGAGGAGGTGCGGGCAGAAGAGGAGGTGCGGGCAGAAGAGGAGGTGCGGGCAGAAGAGGAGGTGCGGGCAGAAGAGGAGGTGCGGGCAGACGAGGAGGTGCGGGCAGACGAGGAGGTGCAGGCAGATGAAGCCCATCCTTCCTATGGTTTGAATCTATCATACGCTCACCCTGAACTGCCCAGGCTTGTGCAAGGTTTATTTTAGGCACCCCTTACACCTAAACGTACACACAGTAAAGCTCATCTGGAAAAACGACATTTTTACATGTACTTGCACATGTTGCTATTTACTGTACGTTTACATGCATTAAACCGGTTTTGTGTCTTGTTTGTTACTGGGCAAACTTTAAAACAATAGTTTTCATGGAGCAGATATGTGGCAAGCCACAAACCCTCATGATGCACGCTTTTGTGTAACCATTTACTCCTGTGGGCCTAAAAAGACAAAAAACTGTCCCACAGATGCAACATGCAGTTTAACCCCTTCGTGACAGGAGACGTACACTGTACGCCGTCACAAAGTGCCTATATGACGAGTTATTTAAGGCTCTGTAGTGCCGGTAACCGTTTATTCTCAGCAGTTACCAGTCATTAATGAATGTCTCAGTATTGAAGCATTCATTAATGAAATAGTTAAGCTTTTGTAAAAGCTTTCTTTCATTAACTACCTGCTCTCCGGCCGTTGTAATTAAACGGCCGGACAGCGGCTTCTTGAGGGCAGGTGGGCGTCTTTAAACGTCCCATCCGTTCCGCCGCTAGGTATGCGGGCCCCCCCTCCGTCGTCGCCGATGGCGATCCCGGGCTCCGCTGTTCTCGGCGTGAGCCCGCGACCAGCACAGCAGTTCTGCGGCCGGAGATCAAACGGAGCTCAGTACACGAGCTCCGTTTGATCTCCTCTTCTGAATGCAGGCAGTGATGTGTATTACATCACTTCCTGCATTATGTGTCACTCTCCGGTACAGAAACCGGAGAGAAGCTGGTGAAGCAGGTCTCTGCTTCATCAGCTTATCTGGGGGTCCCTTGGTGACATAAGGAGTCTTAAGACCCCTGATGGCTCCATAAAGAGGAGCTTGCTTGCTCCCTATGCGATAGCAATAAAGTTCAGTGGAAAAAAAAAAAGTTTAAAAAAACATGTTACAAAAAAATATTTTAAAAAATCACATATCAAAGCAATAAAAAAAAAAAATTATTTAAGTCCTCCGCCCCCACACGCAAACATGCGGCAAGCCCGCCTACGTGCAAAAACGCAGATTACATCCTTTGCGCCGCACATGTTACATATCGCTGCGAACGTCGCAGTGAGAGCAATAATTCTAGGGTCATCAGTCACTGATAACACTAAACTGATGAGCGGTTAAAGCTTTTAAAGCGTCGGCTATGGTCGGTTTTGAGTATGGTCGTTTTTTGCGATTTAACGGGTGCGCGCAATTTTAAAGCTTGACATGTTTGGTGTCTATTTACCTGTCGTGACCCGATCTTTTATATTTTACCAAAAAAATTGGGTAATAATAAATGTTTTAGAACATAACGTAGGGAGAACAGGTTTTTTTTCAAAATTTATAGGACTTTTTTTATTATACAGTCAAAAAAAACCTGCATGGTGATTAAATACCACCAAAAGAAAGCTCTATCTGTCCCCAAAAAATGGTATAAAATTAATTTCAGTACAGCGTTGCATGACGGAATAAATGTCAATCAAAGTACCGCAGCGCTGAATACTGAAAAATGGCCTGGCCAAGAAGGGGGTCTAAACACCGCGGTCAGCAAGTGGTTAATGAAAGAATTAAGCCGTTACATACAAATACAGGAGCACTAAATAGCAATCCCGTATTTGACAGCTGAAGATAGCAGAGAGGTAGCAGAGTGAGTCACCTCCCTGCTATTCGTTTTGACAGCTGGATACATTTCAGGCAAAGAGATACAATGTATCTCTTTGCCTGAAATGTATCACTTCTGATCATCTAGGTATGATCAAAGACCTTTAGGCCTGGTTCACACCTGGGCGGTTTACAGCGCGTTCCTACGCGCTATAAAACGCTCAACATGTGAAAATCAATGATTGCCTATGGGCATGGTTCCCACCTGGGCGTTTTACAGCGCGTAGGAACGCGCTGCAAAACGCCCTACGCCCAAAGAAGTACAGGTCAATGATTGCCTATGGGCATGGTTCCCACCTGGGCGTTTTACAGCGCGTAGGAACGCGCTGCAAAACGCCCTACGCCCAAAGAAGTACAGGAGCTTCTTTGGGGCGTATTTGCAGCGCGTATCCATTAGGATACATCCAGACATGCTGTCAGGATCAGTCTCTAAGGTTATTATTATCTGTTCCTAAGTTTGGAGCAGCCAAATAATAGCCAAAAATTAAAAAAGTTAATTTATCAAGCAGTCATAGTAACTGCTTGATACAAACTGACAAAGAAGAATTTTTTTTTTTATTTTTTTTTTACAAAGTATAAAAAAATTAAAGTGTAAACAAAATTAGGAAAATATAAATATATTTTTTTATACTATAATTATTATAAAACATTTCTAAAAAAAAATAATCAAAACTTGTGTTTTCTTTAGTTTTTTTCCTAATTTATTTCCCTCATGCCCCCCAAAAGCATGATGGGATTTGCAGTTTCACCACAACTGGAGTGTCAACCCTGCTTTACACTGACACAATGATGTGAATAGGCTCTGCAGAAATTAATAATGTTCTCATGCATTTCATGCCAAAAAAACAAACAGCCATGCTAGCTAAATGCAGCACAGCGGCGTAGTGCTTAGCGCTACTGCCTTCTAGCGCTGGGGGGCCACAGCACTATCTGCAAGGAGTATTCATGTTCTCCCTGCACTTGCATGGGTTTCCTCCCACACTCCAAAGACATACTGAAAGGTTGATTGGCTCCTGTCTAAATTGGCTATGTATGTATGTATGTATGTATGTATGCATGTGAGATAGGGACCTTAGACTGTAAGCTCCTTGAGGGCAGGGACTGATGTGAATGTGCAGTATGTAAAACACTGTGTAAATTATCAGAGCTAATTCCTGTGTGTGGGGGAGGAGATTCCATCTCGTGATGCTGTCCTGGAAGACGTTATGGGAAATATCTGTAATAAATAAAATGCAGACAATGCAAAGTGGTGTGAATGGATGAACTAGCATGTGCCTCCTGTGCCAGAATCTCCTACTCCAGTGCTGCCTAAGGCCCTTCTGTTCCCATACTTTGTGGCAGTACAGATTCAGCTCCCACCCCCGCAAACCTGGTGCCTGAAGGACCTATCAGCATGCCTGGACATTGTCACATGGAAGGAATGCTTGCCCGAAAGGCAGTTGGAAAAAAAGTTGCAATTACCATACCTGGTTTTAGGGTACGTTCACACCATATGCAGTGCGCTGCGGTCCGATTCTGGCCGGAACGCACTGCATCGCATTGTGGCCAGCTCACTTTTTTGTAGGGCAGGAGAGGGCGTTGCACAGGATCGCAAGGCACATGCCGGTCTGGTGCAATCAAAATAATTCTTGCGGCATTTTGATCGCACTGCACCAGATCGCAGGCACAATGTGCCTTGCGATCCCGTGCGGGCGATCGCATTGCGGCCGGAGGGCATGGCTACGGTGCCATTCTCTTCAATGGCCTGCCACGCCCCCTCCTGCCGATCCAAAAAGTGGGCCAGCCGCGATGCAGTGCGTTCCGGCCAGAATCGGACCGGAACGCACTGCATCTGGTGTGAACGTACCCAGAGAGATTATGTGCTAACTGCTAGCATCTATGAAAGTTCATTTCAAAATGACAATTTAGCTATGTCACCTAAATCACTAGAGGCTAGCAGAAAATGATATCAATCTACACAGTAGTGTAAATCATAAGACACTCATCTGAACACTGGAAATAAACTGGAGCTGTGGCATTGAATCTCCGCTGTGGTGGCTTTCTGGAAGCTTGCGCGAGTCTGCTGTTTGTGCATATGAGTACTTTGGCCAAAGTGGTGGACAGCAGAGCTATCTTGCAAGAAATGTCTAAACTAAATGCACTGGACCTTCTGGACCAAGGTATCCGGGGGATTTACTACAACCTGTACACTGTCCCAAAACCTAAAGGGGTCATTACTTAAATGCAAAGTAATGCACTTTGGAATTAAAAATAAACAAATGGGTTATACAATTATGGGTATGCCGCTGGGGAAGTCAGAAATGGAGAAGGATTTGGGGGTCATTGTAGACCACAAACTGAAAGGTAGTTTGCAGTGCCAGGCTGCTGTAAACAAAGCTAGCAGGGTCTTGTCCTGTATTAAAAAGGGGATGTATTGCAGGGACAAGTCTATAATTTTGCCACTTTATAGATCATTGGTTCGACCTCATCTGGAGTACGCGGTCCAGTTCTGGTCACCAGTACTAAGAAAAGATGTCCTTGAGTTGGAAAAAGTCCAGCGAAGGGCAACCAAACTAATTAGGGGTATGGAGGACCAGAGCTACGAGACGAGGCTACTAAATTTAAACATGTTCACATTAGAGGTGAGGAGATTAAGGGGGGATATGATTTCCATGTACAAAATGTTTAATGGTGGTAGCAACATTAGCGATAAACTGTTTAAAATTAACTCCGTTACAAAAACTAGAGGCCATCACCTAAAATTGATGGAAAAAAAATTCCAGCACAAGGGGCGAAGGGGGTTCTTCACAGTAAGATCAGTTAGGGTCTGGAACTCACTGCCACAGGCGGTGATTTCAGCAAATAATGTGGAATTGTTCAAGAAACTTTTGGACGATTTCTTAAGGGACCGTAATATACAGGGGTACGGGTACTCCTAGAATGAGATCCTAATAGGTTGGACTTGATGGACTAATGTCTTTATTCAACCTCAAATACTATGTAACTATGTAACTATGTAATTTAGCCCATCCTGAACCACGAAGCCTTGAACGTCATTCATTCAGGTCCACAAATTCTAAGTGGAACTGGCCAGATCTGTTATTGCTGCCCCTTGTCAGGCGACTTTCTGGCTTCTGTGGACATAAAAGAAGCTTGCTTGCATGCACCCATCTTTCCAAACAATCAACGATTTTGGAGGTTAGTTGTAGGGCCTCTGTACTACCAGTTTGTGGCCCTGCCATTCGGCCTCTCTTCAGCACCTTGGTTGTTCACCAAGGTGATGGTTCCAGCATTGGCCCTGTTGCATTTTCATGGCTTCCCCATTGAGGGATACTTAAGATAACCTCCTGTTGAGGAAACATTTGGTCAGGGCCTGAAAAATGTTTCTTCCCCAGAAGAAGGTTCAGCCTCACTGGCCTCAGGTACAAATTGTTCAGTGCAGCCGCTGAACTGGGTCTGGACAAGATTTTGTCCCTCAGCAGAATGAAAGATCAAGTCTCTGGTCTTTCTATTCCGTTTCATAGATTGGTTGCCTCTCATCATTTGATCTAGACCCCTGTGCGAGCTGCCACCTGGTTTTCTATTCACAAGCTCTCCAATTTCCATCAGGTCTGCCTCATCTGATGCCAGCGTCAGGCATAAAGTCCTTCAGGAGGCTCTTTGAGCTGCAGGCAGTCCCCAGTTGGACTGCTTTTCGATGTCCCAAAGGTTTAACACTTCCTGTGTCCCTCAATGGACATGAAAATAGGACTTTTGTACTTACTGTGAAAAACTTTTCTTGGATTCTACTGAGGGACGTGAATCCCAACCATGTGTGTTGATGATCATGCTCTTGGTACTGTTTTGCTACAAAACTGGCATGCTGGTAGTAAAAGAGGTTATACCCTGGACTGGTCTACAGGTTTGTTTTTTTTGTTTGCCATTGACCAATCTTCGTGTAGGAAGCACTATATAATCCGAAGGTTTAAGACTTTGTGTGCTTCCATGAAAAAGGATTTTACAGTGAGAATAAAGATCCTAGTGTAACCAGCCAATGCATCCGAGAGGGATACTTGCACAAAAGGGATTGTTTGCTTGATAAACACATAGTTAAGATCATCATAGATCTGTAGCTGGCTTGACAAGTCATTCAAATTTTAAGTCAGCCTAAAAGGTACCCATTTTGATATGAAAAATAGCGGATGTACAGAAAGCTTTAGTCCTCCATGTTAAATGGAAACAAACCATATGTGTGGGCTGGCAGCATTGCTACACTGGAATCCCAAGCAGTGCTGTCTCTCCTGCTGGATTACAGACCACCATCTATCCCTGCCCCCTCTGTCCCTCTCCGCATGCATACATTGCTTCCTTTGTCAGCAGAACAATGAATTGCCTTTACTCCTCAGAGTCTGCCCACACAAAAGCTTTTGAGAGATGTGGGACTGGGGGGGGGGCATACCTATGTTACCAGAAACTGACCTAAAGCACCCTGCTGATCTCTCCTCTCAGCACCTACCCTTGAAGACTCTTACAAGTCTGCTGATGACATCACAGGATGTTATAAAAGCGGTTTCTTGCTACAAGAAACAATTAATGATGGCATGTACTCGAGGGGGTGAAAGGGGTTAAATCTGGGCCATGCCTTAGGGACCTTATTCAGTCCCTTTTAAAATGGACTTAATGAAGCGAGCAGAAAAAGCAATCAAACTGTAAACGAAAAGAGTAACATACACACCTAGCCGTTGTGCAAAAGAACTTGCAGTGGGATCAGACTTGTCTCCAAGAATCAAAGTAGACAGTGGTGCAGAGTCCTACAGCAAAGGTCAAAAGTGAAATGGTTAATTTCTGCTTGCATATTAATCAAACGGCAAACCTGTAAAATAAGAACATTATTAAAATGCAGTATAAAAGACAAGGCTCCTACATCAATAAAAATATATCCTTGTCCACAACTCAGCTATGACCCAGTCATTTCATTGATGGGGGCATTTGTTTGATGCAACTACCTCAGAATTTATCAAAACTGGAGCAGATTTGCATTGCAACCAATCAGCTTCTATCTCTCAATTTGAAATCTCAACTGAGCAAACTGAAGAGAGATGATTGGTTGCCGTGGGCAACTGCTCCATATTCTGTCTGCTCCAATTTTGATACATTCCCCTCAAAGTGTATTTCCTATTTTACAGCCAAATTGGGATAACACCTACTTTATATACATCTGTCTAATACAAGGGCCTGCCTAACAAGCCATTCCATTTATACGAGGCAGGCCCTTTCTCTACATAATTATTGGTAAAGCTACAGACTAAGAAGAGTTGACACTTTTATTTTCCTAGCTCTTGTAAGCAGCAGGGACTACTTAGAATCTATAAGTGACCTGCACTTCGATCAGTACTGATGGGTCACCTATCCCCAATAAATTCACACACCTAAAGTAGATGTAAACCCTAACTGCATAACATTTAATTTGCTAAACTGTGTATCCATCACTTGTCATTTTTTCCCCCCAGAAAATACTGTTCCTTCCCTTTTTTGAATCCTTTGTTACATCTCAGTGCTGCTGATCATGGCATGGCATTTCTTCAGGGTGCATTATCCAATGAAGATCGGTGACAGTGGACCATGTCTGCACAATGAGTATTGGCATGGCTGCTTATATTCATCACCAAAAGTGCATGTGAAACGGTGAGAAGCAGGAAAGCAATTGGGAGACAGAGACTGACAATTGTCATCCTATTACAGGAAGTGTCTGAACAAGCAACATAATGGCAGGATCACCTTGTATTAGAAGAATGAAAGCTGTAGAGTTAAAAAAATATATAAAATCCATTTAAAAAAATGACATTAACATGCTAAAGATTTTAGTGACTGTGTTTACATAAACATTAGGGCTCATTCACACCATCTGCGTTGCCTGAATGCAAGGCATTTTGCCTCATCATGGATGGTGACAGTTCACACCACTGCATTCTAGCATGCAGTACTTTGTAAGTGCACGGACGTGAGATGAACTACATAGCCCATAGAAGTTATTGAAATGTATATGCAACATTTCAATCAAGTTCTAGCCAAAGAAAAAACAGAATAGAAGAGCAGCAATGCGGCTCGATTGAGCACATTGGCACTGTACGGGCCGTGCATGTGAGTGCAGCTGCTGGTGTGAACAAGCCCTCATTCACACGGGTAACGGCCGGCCCGTACAGACCTGTGCTGCGTGCATGGCCGTATCGGGCAGCTCCCGGGAAGGACAGGTGCTGCGTCTGATTTGTACACAGTTTTTGTGATTTGTACACTGGTTTTGTGAGTGTGCCATGATACCTTTCTGCTGATTTGTACACAGTTTTTGTGATTTGTACACTGGTTTTGTGAGTGGGCCATGATACCTTTCTGCTGATTTGTACACAGTTTTTGTGATTTGTACACTGGTTTTGTGAGTGGGCCATGATACCTTTCTGCTGATTTGTACACAGTTTTTGTGATTTGTACACTGGTTTTGTGAGTGGGCCATGATACCTTTCTGCTGATTTGTACACAGTTTTTGTGATTTGTACACTGGTTTTGTGAGTGGGCCATGATACCTTTCTGCTGATTTGTACACAGTTTTTGTGATTTGTACACTGGTTTTGTGAGTGGGCCATGATACCTTTCTGCTGATTTGTACACAGTTTTTGTGATTTGTACACTGGTTTTGTGAGTGTGCCATGATACCTTTCTGCTGATTTGTACACAGCCCCCGTCCTTCTCTATGGGAGTACGTGGCTATACGCTCACCCGACATGCACGCCCTTATGGGTGTCCCTGCTTGGACGCAGACAGGATCCATCCTGTCAGCGTACGAGTACGGACACTCGCACGAACGACGGGCAGTTCAGGTGAGCGTAGGGCGGCGTACAGCCATGTATTCCCATAAAAAAAGGAGAGGCTGCTGCGTGTAATGACACGCAGCACCTGTCCTTCCCGGCAGCTGCCCGATACTGCCCTGCACGCAGCACAGAGCTGTACGGGCCGGACGTTACATGTGTGAATGTGGGCTAAGGGGGAAACACAAGATAAAATGACACTGATCAGGAAAAACTCAACAAATATTTGTGATAATAAAATGCTACAATATCATTCCGCTGATAAACACTGCTCTAATCCTCCCACTTCAGAAATCTGTATGATGAGAAAAATGTAGACTGCTGCAGCTGGCCTTTTACTGGAATTGTATTCTGAATTCCTGCTGGAGGCACTGACCAAGAATAAGCATGCACCAGGGAAGTCAGAATTCTGGATTAGAAAGTAGTAAAGCCTTTGCAAGAGTCTCACTAGAAATGTGACAGGAAGTCCTTTTATTCCCAGTTTATTGGTGCAGAGCGTGTTGTCAGCGCCACTCTGCATCATCAGAGGACCAGCCAGGGCCAGAGGAGAGGTGGAGAGGAAGAAGCCCCAGCATGTCAGGTGACCAGTCTGAAGACAATGGAGAAAGGTTAGCATGAAGAAAAAAGTAAATCATACATTCAAGGGAGACCCCAGGGGGAAGGAAGGAGGTCATTTATTTGCTGGCTGTCATGGTGATCCAGTGGCTACTAAGTCGCCAGACTGGAAAAAGTCAAAAACTCAGGAGTTTGGACTTCCTTTGACTTCAGTAACAATGATGGCTTCATTTTTGCTATTAAATGTTCATTTTGAAAGAATCCACTAGATGGAGCCAACGACCACTGCAAAAGTTGTGACTAGAAAGGAAACCTTGTCAGAAATAAGGAAGCCAAGTTCTAATGAGAAGGTAAATCAGGGGTGAGCAAAATCTGGCCCTCCAGGTGTTGTGGAACTACAAATCCCATGAGGCATTGCAAGATTCCCACAGCCACAGGTATAACTCCCCAGAAAGAGATGCATGATGGAATTTGTAGTTCCACCACAGCTGGAGGGCTGGAGTTTGCCCACCCCTGAGGTAAATGCAAATGCGTCACCTAGATTGCCTTGTGGATGATTCGGCTCTGAAATGCAATACAAAGGCAGCTCCTGGGCTGCATGGTGATGTCTCCTTTTACCATATTTTCACTCTATGCCAGGGGTGGGCAACTCCGGCTCTCCAGCTGTGCTTTAACTACAATTCCCAACATACCTCTGCCTATGGAAGTCATGCCTGTAACTGTCAGTCTTGCAATGCCTCATGGGACTTTTAGTTCCACAACATCTAAAGGGCCAGAGCTGCCCAACCCTTGCCTATGCCATCATCTTTGTCAAGTATATTCAGATTTAGAACTTCTACTATTCTGCTTTATATCTGCGTCCTAAAGAGACTGGCAGAGGGCATTTCAGATATCAAAGCCAGCAAGGCTCCACTGCAGTGCACAGTGATGACAGTCCTAAAAAGCATGTGGACAGATAGAGAGCAGAGTCATGACCTCATCAGAAATGGTTAGTCAGCAGATTTAGGGCCCGTTCACACCACATCATCTCCAGACAACACCAGATTGTTTCCAGACCCAAAATGCATCCTAATGTATCCATATGCTATTTCTGGCCTATGTTCCCACTAGCTCAGTCCGTTCCAGACCAGGCTAAAAAAATACTGCGCGTCTCATTTTGTCTGGTCTGGAATGCATGGAAAAACAGTAAAACACATACAAATGCACTGGACCGTGAATGAAAGCCCATTTTAAGCTAAAAAAAAACCTGGCTCCTGAACGCAGCAAAAACACGGCAAAATGCATTGCACCGCGTCCCAGATCTGGTCTGGAAAATGGTGTGGCCTAATAGTGTGTTCTGGAACAATGTGTGCTGCTTTTTATTAAAACGTGAACATATTTTTAAAATACAACTGACTTAAAATGAGCTCACCACAGGTGACCTTTCTTTAGAAATGGATACTTCTGGGAGTGTCAATCTCCTGTGTCCCCCAATACAGCAAAGTAAATGTGCCACACAATGCTCGCCATTACCAGAGATAAAGCTTTATTGCTTGTCAACAATCCCACTATTGTCCCTGCCACTAAACCACCTACCTCCAATGTGTTTCACCCTTACAGGCACAGAATTTAATAGAAAAGTGTATACCCACCTATAGTGCTGGTTCACACCTGGGCGTTTTTCAACCCTGATCGAAGCGCTGAAAAACGCTCAGACAGTAAAATCCCATACTTTCCTATGGGCATGGTTCCCACCTAGGGTATTTAAGCCCGTGGAAACGCGCTGAAAAACTCAATACGCCCAAACAAGTACAGAAGCTTCTTTGGGGCGTTTTTGCGCGCTTATCCATTGGTATTCCCGAGTCCTGGCTCGGGGTTAACAAAGCGGTAACCCCGAGCCACACTCGGGAATACAGCGTAGGACTTACCTTGCAAGTCCTACGCTGAAGTAATAAAGCTTTACTTTCCGCCCCCCTGCGACGCAGCCGCTCGCAAGTGAAGGAAGTCGGCAGCGGCCGGAGGACACAGCGGGGATCTTGCCCATGTGTAGATTATCCTCCATTCATATACATCCGACTCCCCATAACAGACCTGGAGTAGGAGAGCCATGCAAGAAAAGACAACACTGGATCCACTGGGCTTCTAAGTGTATTAATCCAGCATAACAAAGTACCGCTAACTACACACGTTACAATCTGATTGTACAATCTCCTTTAGATCTACCAACAGCATTGTAGTACAAAGGCCTGTCTGCCTGGATACAAATTGATTAGATCAGGGGTGGGCTATCTGACCCTTCAGCCGTGCTTTAACTATAAATCCAATCATTCCTTTGCCTCTGGAAGTCACGCTTGTTGCGGTCAGTCTTGCAATGCCTCATGGGACTTGTAGTTCCATAACAGCTGGAGAGCCAGAGTTGCACACTCATGAGGGTAGGTCATTATATTACAGTTTTGGCAAATCGAAAGCTGATTGCATGGTCAGATTGTAATGCGTATCCTCCCCCTAGGTGGAGGGGAGAGAGGGAAAGTTCTTCCACAAGTCTATGGAATGCATTGTTTTTAGATGATATGTTTCATTCTGTGACATGATGTAATACAAGTAGTAATATGCAGAGCACAGTGACAGACACACACACACACAGAGACACCACTCACAAATCTGCTGCACATGCCCACCGCCAGATTAGACAGAGACGGGGAGAACCCGAACCACAGAAGGAAGCAGTCCTGCAGACTCATCACATGGAAGTGCACCGGCTTGTCGCAGATCTTATCACTGAAATTGTGTATAGAGATGGCACGAGGGTGAGAGTCCTCCATGTCTGCCATACACCCATCTGACTGCGCCACGCCCCCTTACGTCATCCGCCGCTGAGTTCCAAGACGCCATCTTTGTTGTGGGCGTACCGCTCTGTTATCCTAAAACAAGTATGGCTGCCTATGGAGTAAACATGCCTGTGTCAAGAGAATAGTTACGGTTCGTGATTGTGCGATCATGGCGCGATATTGTGCGGTAGCCTCTCCTACACCGAGTCAGAGGTCTTCTACAGTCTTATAGAGCAGATGTCATCTGGCGGAGGACTCATGCAGTCAGACAGCTGAATCACCGGAGGTATATCAGGGAGGATATATCTAACTAAAGGGGGAGCTGATATCTATGACAATCACGTTCTATGTATACCCATTTACACACAAAACATCTTTTTTATTTGATAGGAAAGGGATGGAATCCTGTTTTATTGCTGCAGCGATTCACCCTCACTTGCCTATTTATCTGACACTGGTCACTAGTGATGAGCTCGGGCGTGTTCGCAAGCGCCTTGTGCCGAGCCCGCCAGGAAGCCGTCAGCGCGCAGCGCCAATCACAGGCACTGAGACATGTTCCCGGTCCGCAGCTGCAGAGATCGGAAAATGTCTCAGTGCCTGCGATTGGCGCTGACGGCTTCCTGGCGGGCTCGGCACGAGGCGCTTGCGAACACGCCTGAGCTCATCACTACCTGTCACCTGGACAGGAAGTGAGGGGAAATCTCCATTACGGGGACACAGACAGCAATAAAATCCTGTCCAAAGTCCAAACCCTTTCACACCTTTCTACAAGATTTGTTTTGATTCTTGTCTGTGTTCTGCTTGGGGAGATTTCCCCTCACTTCCTATTCAGACAACCATCAGAGTGACAAGAAGTGAGGAGAAGTATCCCAAACAGGAATGACAAAAGTAATAACCCCTTCACACTCTATTAGAAGATTTGTGTATTTTTTTTTTATTCCTGTCTGTGTTCTCCACTAACTTTCTGTTCTGTTGACACCCATCAAATTGACAGGAAGTGAGGTGAAGTATCCCAAACAGGGATGAATAAAGTCCCAAACCTTTCACACTCTGCTAGAAGATTTGTTTTAATGTTGTTCCCCAAGAAGGAAACAAGGGGAAAGGGGTGAGAATTGGCTTTAATGGCACCCCCACCAACAGCACAAACCAATCTTTCTTTCTTTCTTTCTTTCTTTCTTTCTTTCTTTCTTTCTTTCTTTCTTTCAGTATTAGGCTAGGGGTAGGCAACTCCAACCATCCAGCTGTTGTGGAACTCCAAGTCCCATGAGGCATTGCAAAACTCTGACAGCCACAAGCATGAGTACCAGAGACAGAGGCATTATGGGATTTGTAGTTAAAGCACAGCTTTAGGGCCAGAGTTGCCCACCCCTGTGTTACTTGCTCAGTAATGAATCCAGATCGTACGCATATAGAAAATATTTTCTAGAGATGCCATTTCTGCCTATGGAGCCTGTCTACATTATACCGCTGCACTGTAATGTATTAAAACAAAGTAGAAAATAAATAAACTGCATGTTTTTCTTGTCTGGTGCAGTGATGCCTCTTTCGACCCCATGGAATTGAATGCTGATGCATGTGAACGCATGTTGTTTGTCTTAGCACATCTGCACCTTGGAAACTATCAGTTTTGGAAGTTCCTTGCCTATCTTTGTACAATAAATGTGTATTAGCGGTTTACATCACTTTTTCTTGTTTTCTTTTTGTGAACAGAACATTTGATAGAAGAAAAATGGCCCCAGCTAGGTCTTCTATTGGCTACCCTTGGATTCTTGATTCGATTAGAAAATATAATGGAGAACCATTTGTGCTTAAAGCAGCCCCTGCCCAGGTGGTTGAGGTAAGTTCTGTTTGGTTAATATAGAAACATGATGGGAGGAAACTTAATTTGTATTCAAGCCATTGATGTATAATGATACTGTCCAGCGTATAGCTGAGTGAGTGCCGTTCACACATCATTGCTGCCAAGGAGAATAGGAAATCCCATTTAGTGGCCATAATGCTGTGCAAACTGTATTCACCAGCTATACGCTGGGCAGAAGTTTTATACATTAGCCCCAAAGTGTCTGTGTCCAGGGCCGCATAGTTGTCCCTAGTTCCCCTGAACACTGCTCTTATCGCTCCTCAGGGACCAAGAGCGATAATGATTAAAGCACAGTTCAGTGGAGGCATGTGCTGACAGGAGAGGACAGTCAGACCTGGCTCTGTGATGGGAATCTCCTCCCTGCTCAGGGTCTTTTAACCCTTGCCGCAGCACTTAGCTAATTAAAAAAACCAAAGTAAAAGAGAGACACATTTATTACTGGATATGCAGCAATAAATTAGGAGGGTGCAGTTGGTCCTTAAAAATATCTGTAACGTGTGATTAGTTTCTGTTAAAGAACAACTGCAGTAAAAAATGTTATTAACCCTTGCAGTGGGGCTACCCCTCCCCACACATACAGACACACACACTGCAAGGGTTAAGTGCTTGTTTTTGCCTAGGGTCAAAAATAACAAAGTTATACTCCCTCGATCCTCGGAGCCAGCTGTTTGTGACAGCACTTCCTCCAGCCTGTCTCCTCCTCCACTGCATGGTATGTCCCTTGGCGTCCTCACATCCTATACACTGTGTATAGAAGGTGATGAATCATGGACTTTAGACCGCTGCAGAGGAGGGGGAGAGACACTCCAGGGATCGGTCTAAGAGCCGGCTCCGAAGATTAGGCGAGTATAACTTTTTTTTTACCCTAGGCAAAAATGAGCACTTAACCCTTACGGTGCAGGGGTGGCCCCACTGGCAAGTTTAGTTCCGGCTGGACCTAGACCTCTGGGCAGCCGGTTCGATATGCATACATGATCTCTCAATTGCAATATGTAATTTACATGAGGTTCTTCATATGTTACATTGATATCGTACTCACCAAGATATGCAAAACCGAGGTCCTCACTGAAGTGTGCGATGGCCTATTCCTGCGGCCTGATGTTAATAACATTACTGTGACACCTCGCTGTAAGTGGTAAAGAGTTATGCTATATGTGATATGTATGATCACAGTGTATGCTTTTTGTCTTTTATCTGTTCGCTATGCACAAAAAACAATAAAAATTTAAATGGGGAAAAAAAAAAAAAGTGGTGGCCCCACTGGAAGGATTCATAACATTTCTAAGCAGAGTTTTTCTTTAATTCAAGCGATATATTTAGAGTACATTCCAGCAGAATATTTAGATATCATGAATAACACGGATGATTTCCACCATTTTTTATAACCTAGTACAAATCTCTAACCCTAATATTACTATTAAGGGAATGTCTCCAGCACACCGAAAATCCTTACAGGATCACCAAATGCTCCATTTTTGGAACAGTTTGTCAGAATGAAAACAAGCACTTTCGGGGCCGCACAGGGTCCCTTCATCAGGCTTAACATCAGCCAGGCGATTGGTATTGGTGTCGATACTGAGTATTTGGGCAAGTACTCGTACTCACCCAAATGCTCCGATACTTATCCCGATATCGGAACTTCTGGTCAGAGGGAGATTTCCTCTGACTAGCAGTGCCACAAGGTAACATGGAGCTGCTTCCCGGCTAATTAGGAAGCCATGCCACAGGTAATGACTCGCGGCCCGGCTTCCTGGTTGGCCGGGAAGCCTGCTCCATGCTGTTTGGCAAGCTCGATGCTGATTGCCCGGGAAGCCGGCTCCATGCTCGCAAAAGTACCAGTATTGGTACTCCATATCGGCGAGTACCGAAATATATCATCTCTCAGGTTGCTGTCCTGGAAGATTCCTAGAAATACCGTTACCGGTAAGTCTAACGGAACATATCGGTACTCGATACCGAAAAACCGGTAACGGTGCACGCCTAATTAATATAATCCTAATTGTATAGCTGATCTAAATGTTGTCATTTGTAGGCCGCAGTGGTCAGTGCTTATTGCATGAAGTGGTAAAATGCTGTGTGGATTGAAACTCTATGAGATGGGAACATCCTTGTTTGTAAAGAGAAATAACGTCACCAGCACTCCAAAGTATAATAAAGCAATAGTCCATTTGTTGGCATATTGCCAATGTGCCAATAAATGGACTATTGCTTTATTATACGTTGGAGTGCTGGTGACGTTATTTCTCTTTCTGATTCTATCACGGTGCCATCCGTGGTCACTACAAGCACCCACCCGGCCATACGGGTCTTTTCTGTTCGGTAAGGAGTGCCGCGAGATCTCTTGATTTCTGCATCCTTGTTTGTAGCCTCACAATAGCGGGCCTTATTTATCTCTGAGTACTAAATATCTAAGATCTTAGGATGATAGTTTTTTTCCCACACAAACATAAATCACATTTAAACATGTCTTAGAAAATACATTGGAACAGGAAGGTTTGAATGTCATTGTCAGCTTTGGGAAAACAAAAACCCAGTATTGTTACTATGTACAGTAAAGATACACCTAAGGGTAGGCTAGAATTCGCATTTTTGTTGATGTGGTAATGCTATAACATTTCCTTGTTTTTTGTTTAATCGCTTCAGTTTCTGAAAATGCCAGAGCGAACAAAAGAGTGTCAGTATCCAGGAGCTGTTGTTCATATTTCTGATCGGCAGTACTATATCAGAGCCATCATCACAAAGGAGGCACAGGAAACTATGGAACGGTATATATAAGCAGTACTGGCAAGAGAACCAGTAATGAAATCCTCATCAGTCCAACCTACCCCTGCGTTGTCTTATTTCCCATCCCTTTTAGCTCCCTGCCTTATATTTTCCTTATCAAGCTAATTAGCTCCCTTCTTGTCTTTCATCCTCTTTAGTTCCCTGCCTCATATTTACCTCATCACCTCTTTGTCTTGTCCTGCATGTTTTGGATGTTCTTTTAGAGCTGAGCTCTCGGCAGATATACCAAATAAAGTGTATGCATAGGTGTACTTTGTTTTGTTACTTTTAAGTATGGAAGGATTAGAACCCTTATCAAGTTTTATCATTGTTGTCTGTGTACCTGCTGGGGAGATATACTCTCTGTATGGGACTTTTTTTTTTATAAATGTATTCACATAACTTTCAGCCAACATTCACACATTTATAAAGAGAACCCTTATGTGTCCTGGTGATCATTGTGACTGTCACTGAGTCATAAAGTGATGGGAAATCCAAACGTTTAGATTTAAATACTGGATGCGTGGTTAGGAGTGATTATTAATGGCCATCTCACTTGAAGGTTCGTCTAGGTTGTTTATTGGAATGGATATGTCGGATACAGTGAACACATTTTGAGAGTTGTCACCAAAACACCAGGTGAGGGTAAACCACCAATGGGGACACCTGTTCCGTTGACAACATTCTAAAAGGAAAATGCCCTTATTTTATAGGGAATTCCTTTCTTATCCTGTTGTGTTTCCAGGGCAGGAAGTGAAGGGATATCTCCCCAATATGACACAGGTGACAGGAAATAAACTGACAGGAGATGTAACCCTTCCCTACGCTATCCAAAACTAAAAAAAATGAATGCAAAGCCATAAAATGTATTTTTTTAAAAAAGTAGTGCAAATGCCTGAATTTATCTTACTACCATGCTTCTCATCTTCTTACACAGCAGCTTTCAGACTAGGAGTAGAAGGAGCAGTAGTTGAAGATCATGGTGTGCTGCAGGCACATGTGTTAATAGGAAACATGCTGACAGAAGGAAATAATAGAGTGAGCAGAAGGATGAACTCATGTGCTGCTCCTTCATTGGCCAATCAGCAGATTGGGGTGTGATTTGCTCCAGTGTTCTATATTCACCTGTTTGCATGGATTTAGGTTCCATCACTACAGCCAGGAAATAGCAACTATGTTAATACTACTACATCCAGGGAGTAAACACCATAATCACTCTCAGGCCTGGTTCACACCTGGGCGGTTTACAGCGCGTTCCTACGCGCTATAAAACGCTCAGCATGTGAAAACCAATGATTGCCTGTGGGTATGGTTCCCACCTGGGCGTATTTCAGCGCGTAGGAACGTGCTGAAAAACGCCCTACGCCCAAAGAAGTACAGGAGCTTCTTTGGGGCGTATTTTCCGCGCGTATCCATTAGGATACAGCCTGATAGCCCGCGTTTGTCGCGCGTTTCTTTTACCGCAAATCGCGGTAAAAATGCACGCGGCAAGCGCGCATATTCCATACGCCCAGGTGTGAACCCAGCCTTAGACCCGAGGAGTGATTACCACAGTACTGCTGCTAGTAGTATGTATTGGTCATTATCCATATCCATTTGGTAGGTAACTCCAGTTTTAGACCACACCACTAATTTCCTTGCTGTTGAGGGCTGGGTCCTGCACTTAAAGGCTTACACCACCACAGTTTGCATTGATATATATATTTTTTTTTATAGAGTGGGGACAAAATGTGGCTTTTCTTTTTGTCTATGACCCCATGGTGGAGAATTTCTCTCACTTCCTCTCCCTGTGATTTCTATGTAATAAGCATGGGAAAGCGGTTGTAACCCAGAACAGAAAGTCCTAGGCAGCACTAACAAATTGTCAGATATTGTAACCCTTCCCCACCATATGTGTTTGTGACTGGACAAGGGGAGAGGAGGGGCGGATGAAGCTGGTCAACATGTCCACTTTCCCAGCGACAGAATGCAGGACATTTTATGACTGAAGGAAAGGGGGAGATTAAGTGACACTCTTTGTGACTGTATGAGAGACATAACTGTGATTTACAGGGGGGAATACGTGACACTCTTCATGACTGTATGAGAGACATAACTGTGATTTTCAGGGGGGAATACGTGACACTCTTCATGACTGTATGAGAGACATAACTGTGATTTACAGGGGGGGAATACGTGACACTCTTCATGACTGTATGAGAGACATAACTGCGATTTACAGGGGGGGAATACGTGACACTCTTCATGGCTGTATGAGAGACATAACTGTGATTTACAGGGGAGGGAATACGTGACACTCTTCATGGCTGTATGAGAGACATAACTGATTTACAGGGGCGGAATACGTGACACTCTTCATGACTGTATGAGAGACATAACTGTGATTTACAGGGGGGAATACGTGACACTCTTCATGACTGTATGAGAGACATAACTGTGACTTGTGTGTGTGTGTGCTGGAAGTTCAGAGCTTACAGAAGTTGCGTAGATGAGAGAAAGTATACATTTTACCTAAAGTTGCTGCCAACCACAAATGTGACACCCATCATTAGAGGTACTTTATTTCTGCAGACTAAATGTCCAAAAATAGTTTCCTGGAGTTCTGCTCTAAGATAGTAGCTCAGAGTTTACAAAGAATGCAGACAATTTGGTGGTAGACATCTGATATTTGTCTGCTAATGGGTAGATCTGTTCACCAACATAGGTTCCCGTAGCCCATTTATCTAATCTAACCAATAACAACTCTGTGGCAATAATATTGCTACCACCATTTGAAGTCGTATCTTCGGAGGCACTTGCATATGGCTGATTTAATGAAGTCTGAGAATCAAATCACTAAATTAATATCATTTCTAAAGGTTCTAGTGTGTCTACCGCTTTATTTTTTTCAGAGAAGATGAGCATTTTACATTAGCCCATATCAAGAACAAGATGGTTATCTTGAAAAAAGTTACACTCTCCTTTGCTGCAGAAGAGGATCTGGTTAGTATACAGTGACTAATGTGGCTTCTACTGTTTTTTCTTTTATTTGTTATTAGTATTTATATAGTGCGGAAGATTTACGCAGAGCTTTACATAGAGCACATTCACAGCAGTCCCTGCCCTCAAGGAGATAACAATCTAAGGTCCCTATCTCACACGCATACATACAGGGACAATTTGGAGAGGAGCCAATTAACCTGCCATCTTGTCTTTAGAGTGTGGGAGAAAACCGGAATACACGAAGGAAACCCACGCAATCACATGGAGAACATGCAAACTCCTTGCAGATAGTGTCCTGACCAGGATGTGACTACTTTTCAGTTTGTAAACATGTGTCAAAACAAATTGCACAAGAATTCACCTTCTTTGCTATCAAACTCCTAAATAAGCTCTGGTGCAACCAGCTACTCTTAAGTAGGTATACATGGTTAGAGTTTCATATAAACAAAATCAATTTCGAAAAACGTTCGTTCGACTTTCTAATAGTTGATGGGGTCAAATTGATGATCAATTTGGACTGCAGTGGCGAAAAAAGTCGAAGGAGCATGTTGGAAAATGTTTCTCAATTGAACGAACTGCTAACAGAGAAAGTGGTTTTCGTTCGGAAAACTCCATTCATTCCAAAATCAAATGTTAAATTAAAACAAAAATCAAACGGAATTTTGTACGGCATTCGTCAAGTGTCTGATGGCTTTTGTTCCAATTAGATTGTTCATATGAATGTTAATTAGAAAATCTATAAGTGTGTATCCTACTTTAGAAGTCACATCATTAGTTGAATGGTGTTCACCTGTGTGCAATTTGTGTCACACAGTCTCAAAATAAATACACCTGCTTCTGAAAGGCACCAAAGTTTGTTAGAGAACATATTGAAACAAACAACAATAAGCTGCCCATACACTGCACGATTATCGTATGAGAATCGCGGGAAATCCCAAGATCGTACGATAATCGCAAAGTGTATGGAAGGCGTGTGACCGTTTCTACTGTACGGTCGCACGTCTTCCGTCGAGCAAGCAGGCAGGAAAACCCGCCGGGAATCATACAATTCTCGGCGGGTTAGTGGACTGCTTGTTCAACAACTGCCGAACAGGCCGGTGTGCACACGCGCACACTGCCCGTTTGCAGTCATTGGAAGCCCGCCCCTCATTGCAGTCATCGGAAGCCCGCCCCTCAGGGAGGCGGGCTTGCGATGATCGCAAGTACGATCTGCCTGTCCAAGATGGGCAGATCGTACATTTTTTAAAATACTTTACAACCATCAACCCTCGCAAGACAAAAGTCTTGCAAGGTTTGTAAAGTGTATGGCCACCTTTAGAAAGACCAAGGCGCAATCAAAAAAGCTCTTGTGAAGGACTAAGCAGGGCTGGGTTTTAAAGAATGTCCCAGACTTTGACAATTCTTGCTACATCAAATCCATTATTAACCCCTCAGTGAACAGTGACATCCATAGCACATCACTGGCACCGGGCCCATTTAAACAGACTCCCGGCGGCTAAAGAGACCGGTACTCTGTTTACAATCGTAAAGCCGACTGACAGCTTTACAATAGAAGCGATCTGGCGACTCAGCTGTCGCCCAACTGCTTCTTCGGACCGGTAAACGGGCCGCCCCGCCCTACACCCCCGCCGTGCTCCGCTGCCCCTCCTATGGGCCCGGGACCAGCTTCTCTGGTGTTGGGGAGGAGATCGGCGAACGTTCGTTCACCGATCCCCTCCCCGTACTATGTGACTTGGAGCGATGCAGATTACATTACTTCCAGTCTCATAGCGGTCAGGGCTGGGCTTATGAAGCCCAGCAAGAAGCTATTGAAGTGAATGAGAGAGCAATAATTATAAGGCCAATATTTATGCGCATCTCTAAACTGATGACCTGTGGGGGGCTTTTAAAGCGTCATCTATGGACTTTTTTGGGGTACTGAATTTTGTCATAGTTTCACAGATGCACACAATTTTTAACCTGGGCATGTTGGGTATCTATTTACTCGTTGTAACCTCATCTTTTATATTTCTATTTTTTTTAAATGGGCACTAAATTGTGTTTTGGGGCATTTTAAGGGCATTTCTCACAAAATTTTGGGGTTTGATAATACGTTGTGGTAATATTGTGCAACATAAAAATGGGAAACTGCAAACATTTGTATTCTACAGGGTCTTGGCTTTCAGAAAATATATAATGTGTTAGGATTTGAAGTAATTTTCAGGCCTAAAATGTGGATTATAACATGGGTACAAAAAAAATGAAAAAAAAGCAACGGTCACTAAGGTGTTAAAAATTTGCATAGTGAAAGTTGTCCATTGACTAGGCAAGGAGTGCGTTAGTCAGAGAAGCAATAGTAACTGGCAGGGAGCAATAGAGATCAGCAGCTGAGCTAAAATAAATTGACCATGGGACAACAGCTTGGATGCCCCACAAGGCTGGGTCTTAGAGAAGAGAAACAAGAAGAAAGCCATTGCTTAAAAAACTTGTATTAAATTTTATTTAGACTTATGCCAAACATAGCAAACATGGAATAAAATTCTTCATTTTGATGAGACCAAACCAAACCATGTATTACTGAAAGCCAGTAGTACTAGGGTCGAGCTCAGGTTTGGATCGGGCCTAGTCGGAACTCCTCCCAAATGCAGAAGGAAGCACCTTCTGTGCCATCCAATGAGCTATGGGTGTGGAATTCCCTATCCACAGCTTGATGTAAGCAAAGGGACGAGGTGCAGTGATGTAATTGGCCTTTAAATGGCTATATTGAGTAAATGACTAGCTTTTGTGTAACGGTATTGTTATGTTGTTGAGTTGCTGTTGCAATGTGATTTCATAAACTTCCTATAGGAAAACAATGTACATTGCTATTGGGTCACTTACAAGATTTTTATCCCTTTCAGAGATGTTGTGAATTTTTTCTGACCATTGAACATTTTTGTATTCTGCCCATGGAGATAGACACAGTGGACCTATTGAACTGGTGAGTGATATGACATTTGCTGGCATACCGTGAATTCTCAGATGGTGGCTTGTACCTGGTGGCTATAGCAATGTAGGGAGGCTAAGACTCTGCAGGGTTTCTACTAGAGGTGCACCGAAATGGAAATGTAAAAACCGAAACGAGGCCGAAACCAAAACCGAAAATGTTTTTATTTTAATTTTTTAAATATTTAATTTTTATTTATTTTATATAAACTT